AGAACCCTCCTCCTTCTCTGAGGCAGCCCTATTCCATCTATATGTCTCATGCCCGGTGATGCATAAACTTCCTCGTGATCATAAAACCCAAAATGTTGCTGGAGGCACCTGTCTTTAAGCCATGCATTAACTGCACGTACTTTTCTGTCTCTTTCAGTATTCGTACCCCCTACTGAAGGGATAGAAAACTACCTGTGCCCCCAATCCTTTGATCAACTGGCCAAGTGACTTAAAGTCCTTTTTAATTCTCTTTGTCCTCCTTTGTTTGATCTCATCACTGCCAGCCTGGACAACCAGTAGTGGGTAGTACTCAGCAGGACTCACCAGACTAGGGAGTTTTTTGGTAATGTCCCTAAATCTGAGCTCCGGGAGGCAACAGACTGGCCTGTGGCCTGGGTCCGGGCGGCAGATGGGACCCTCGTTCCCCTCAGAAGGGAATCTCCAATAACAATTACCCTCCTTTTTTTCTTGGACAAAGAAGTCCTAATGCGTGTGGCTGACTGATTCACCCTTGGCATCCCTATGGGTGAGCCTCCAGCTGTCTCTATTGTCTAGAGACCCACACCTGTTTCGCAAGGGCAATCGGGCAGGTGAGGGAGGCCGGGCAGGGATTTTTCTTCCTCTCCTGACAGGCACCTGCTTCCATTCCTCCCTATCCTTTAGGTCCCCTCCTTTTGCCTGATGGCCAGAGGGGAGGGGATTTTCTGCTTCTTGTGGAGCTTGCTGCTTATGATTCGGGAAATGGCTCCACCAATCTATCTCTCTCTCAGACTCCTTGATATTCCTCAGCCTTTCTCCTTCATCCTTCAGCTTAGCCACCAGGCTGAGCAGATCGTTCACCTGGTCACATCTGACACAGGTGTCGTCTCCGCTACCCTCCTCGCTACCCTCCCCTGCAAGTGCCAGGCTCCAGCACTCTCTGCAGCCCGAGCCATGAACACCCGCATGCTTGCGTGGGGCCTCTCTCTAGGTGCCCACAGTTTTTCTAACGGCCTGTGATCGGGCTGCAACCATAATTGGTTCTGCAATTAAAGGACCTCTCAAAACTACGCATGGGTTTATTTACAGCACGTTTAAGTATTCCGCTGTTAACAGCACTTACCCTTCCTTACCTTGTGTTCAGTGGGCAGCAACTAGTCCCTGCCCTCCCTAAGGCTTCTTATTGAAGCCTATTGAGGGGACAATTAACAGCTGGTTAATGTACACAATTAGCGGCTGGTTAACAGCGTTAATGCCTCGTTTAGATTTCCCGAAGGTGAGGGTGGCTCTGCCCACGCTAGCTCGGCTGCTCGCCCTCCAGCTGCCAGCAAGTCACTTTTCCTGGCTTAAAAAAATCCCCCCTTCCCCCAAAAAATTGTTTTTGGTCGGCCTTTTTCACTTTAGATCCGTTCCCCAGTGCAGTCTTACCTGCCCCGAAGCTGGTCTGACTGGAACAGGATGCCCAGAGAGGTGGCAGATTTCCTGTCTTTGGAGACATTGAAAACCCATCTGGACGCCCTCCTGTGCAACCTGCTCAGGGTGAACCTGCCCTAGGGGAGGGATTGGACTAGATGATCTCCAGAGGTCCCTTCCAACTCCTGAAGGAGCTTAAATACCATTTTCAGTTTATTCATACATCTTCTGAGAGCACAGAACCACCATCAGCTTTCTGCAGTTGATTCCTGACTTAAGGTGTTTAATTATGGTAAGCCTTCCTCCCCACCCATAATCACTCAAACATATTTGAAAAGAAAAACTGTAAAATACTTTCTCCGTTTAAAATAAATAAATGAATGAATGAATAAAAGAAATCAAGATGTTCACATCTGAGAGCATGTCCCAGGAAGACTGTGAGGCCTGTGGAGTGCATCCCCTCAGGAATCAGCCAGTTGAGTCTGCAAGTGCTGTGAGCTGCTGCTCCTTCACAAGTGTTCTTTGCACAACTCTACCAGTCAGACCTCTCATGTGACAGGAGTTTCATTCAAAAGTGGACTTTATCTACCTGGGGATTTATTTGCTGAGATAAGTTTTGCTCCCCAGCTGGAGATATAAACCTTTTGTGCAGCCAAGGCAATGCTTCACAGCAAGGACAGAGGGAAGATAACTTGCAAAGCACCCAGTGCAAGTTCACAGCAAGAGAGGATCCCTCGTCCAGGTAGGCAAGCATGAACCCGCTCTCACATCTCTCAGCTTATCTGTAACAGAGAGGAAAACGGAGCATTTGTTTTTACCTCTGTCACAATAGAGGTTCCCGGGCTATCATAGACCCAGCCGTCCTGGCAGGGACCGAGGGGGACGGTGCTCCGGTTGCCCACGATGCTGCCGAGGGGGTCGGTGCAGCTGATGCCCGTGGTGTTCCAGTCCACTTTGTACCTCCTGCAGCGGCTGCTGAAACTGGCCCCATGGCTGCCCCACTCGGGAACCGTGTGATTCAGCTGCTCCTCCAGGCTCCAGCCACACTGCTGGCTCAGCTCTGCCATGCCGGGGCTGCGGCAATGGTGCTCGGGGGTGAACCCGAAGAAGACGACACCCACATACACCGGGGTGAAGGCAGCAGAAAGCAAACACAGGACAAAGAAGAGTTGCTTCTGGAACCTGTCAAATTCTCCAACACTCTCTAAAATGTCATCTAAGGTTGGCATTTTGGGATCAAAACCACCTCAAACACCTCATCTAAGTCTTCTCTGCAGCACTGATGTATTTAGTTGGCAGCAAAACTATTTAAGTAACAAAGACATTTGACCAAAAGTCAAGACAAACTCCATAAATTATTAAACCACATGTTGCAAGCTTTACTTTTCAGGTTTTATTTCAAATTGGACCTTAAATCACCCAGGGAGAATTTGCATTTAACCCCTAAACAGAGCACATACTTTCCTTTGCTCCACAAATCCCATCAACAGCCACAGCACTTCGTTGGTTTTATTTTTTAATTGTCAAACCAGATCCTGAAAAAGGCATTTTAAGGTGCAAGTACAGATGGAAATTTTCCCTAACATGCAAGCACATGTGAAGTTTAGCATAGCAGCTGCTGGGCACTACAGCTGAACAAGGCTTATCAGCCTGGTTCTACAAAGAACAGGTACATATGCTGTGAACCAGAAGTATCTCTATGTTGAGCCATATCATAGAGTCATAGAATGGCCTAGGCTGGAAGGGACCTTAGAGATCATTTAATCCAACCTCCCTGTCATGGGCAGGGACACCTCTCAACTATATCAGGCAACACATGGGGACCAAGTGGGGATTGAACATGCAACCTTGGTGTTATCAGCACCACGCTCTAACCAACTGAGCTAGCCAGCCTCCCAGTAGTAGTATAGGAACAGCTTTCCCACTCACATGTCTCACCCCTACACCTACCCTCACTCTCCACACTCCTCTGTTTACAAGGAAAATATCTCCCGCCTGCATCACTGGGCACAATTTTCACCTGACCATATCTCTGCCATGACTAAAAGGCTTCACTAAGGAATTACACATTGGGAATAGCTTTGGAAACCATAATATACTTCACAGAATCACAGAATCACTACTTACATCTGAAACTGCCATTTCTTATCATCAAAGACCTGTTAAGACTTTAGGTAGAATTCCATGTGGGGAACTCTCCCAAAAAAAACCCCAGTTATATCATGCTGCAATGATACTTTATGCTGTCCCTGGATAGACAGTTACTACTCCAAGACATTTTGCTGACAACAGCTGCTTCCACCAGAAAGAAAAGTGTAAATGATGAAAAAAGGTAAAAAATGGTCTGGAAAGTGACTTGCACAGTTTAGGCAACTAGACCAAAAAAATAAAAATAAAAAGAACCTCATCTCTATACACTCCAAAAACTAAACCACCTCAGAAAGCCATTCTGGCCCAGAGACAGAAACAGAACAAGTTCTTCACCTGGCATCGCTGCTCATCAGCCATCAGAGCAACAGTGGCAATGGCAGCTGCTTTGTGGACCAGCACTCTAACACAACTCCCTGAATCACACAGAGGTGCCTTCTCCTCTCTTACCTTCTCTTCTCAGGCAGGAATGGCTGAAGAAAAGTAACAAGAAACCCTCTCCTGCAGCCACTTAAGAGCTGCGCCTCCCCAAGCCCCCACACAGCACCCCACACTGTCTCCAGGGCCTCCACGTGGAGCTGGGGTGGGGGACAAGGGACACATGAACTTGCAGCTCCCAGCCAGCCGCCGCAGCCTCCATTGGCAGGAGGATGTGTGCAGTCAGCAGAGGCCGAGGAAACTGAAATCAAAGCCTACCCTGGGAAAGCAGGTGAAGTTTAAAGCCATTAGGCTGCATCTTACAAAACACCACCCCCCAAAAAAAACCCTCATGACTTCTTTCCTAGTGGTTTTGTTCAACCAGTTGCTAATTGTGTGCATAAAACCCACGAGAAGTAAAGAAGTTAGATCCAGACTGGGCCTTTTTTGCTAATTTCTCACCCTCTTCTCTGCATTGCAGACAGGGGTTGGGTGGCACTGTGCCATGTGGGAGGGTGTCTTAGAGGCTCAATTCCCAGTGAGTTGTGCCATTGACTGGCAGGGTTTCTGCTCCTGGTCAAGTCATTTGTACTCATCCGGTCCCCACTATTCTCGCAACGCTTCTCTCCCTAGAGTTTATCAGGGCACTCCACTGGGAAAAATGGTGAAACAAGCCATGAATCCAGGTCTGAATAAGATAGTTCAGTTGTTCAGTGGTGGACCTGGCACAGCTGGGCTCAATGATTTTAAAGGTCTTTTCCAACACAAAACAACTCTGCGATTCTAAGGTAAGGTTCAGTCAGCCTACCTACAAGTGCTTAGAGAAAAAGTGGGGAATAGTTCCAAGACCAGGCACCAAAGTCACTCCCCGCAGTCAGCTGCATATTAGAAATACATCACTGATATTGCTCAATCAAGCACTCCCAAGCAGAGTGTCTCTGTTCCACCTGGGCCCGTTAAGTATAGTCACAACTAAGAGAGCACACAGTGTAATGCCTTAATACACGGGAAGTCTTTTCATGCAGTGGTTCACGGATGAAATAACTGCAAGATGCCAGCCTTGAAGACCTGGAGAAGGAAAGCATCATTCTTCAATATCCATCGAAAGAACTGTTGCAGTGGTAACCGACAGTGTTAAAAATGCACTGACAAGTCTCCCATTCCTCCAAATAAGTCTAATGCTAAATAAAAAAAAATATGCTGCTTTTGTTTTAATTATGACAAGATGCAGCTTCAGTCGAACTGATTTACAGGTTCACTGGTAACAATATAGAAATAAGAAAACCCAAGTCTGCTAAAAGAAAGAATACACCACTAGGACTTACCTGTACATTCTGATCTTTGTCATCAGTTCTTGTTTTGAGTGATGTAACTAAGATGTTAGCTATGACAGTAAGAAAAGGGTATCACCAAGTTGACGAGCACCATCACAGACTAGTGTGAGAAAGATTCCAGACTTGAGATGTGGGGTTTGGAATACCCACTTCATATCTTTTATTGAAATTGCTGAATACTTTATATTACACTATTTTGATTCAAAATGGAGGTTTTATAAAAAGAAACCATTGTTGAAACTGAGTAAGCCAGCCAAAATAAACAACGAAAAGTTTCAAAAAATTCTGACCGATGCATGTACTTGTACAATGCTTTGAAACCCTATCACTGCCCATAATTTAATTTAGGAAACACCTGGAGTAGAGCAAGACTGTATTCATTGCCAGCAACATTTCAGATCAACAACCGTGGCCAGGACCATAGCATAAGAGCTAGAACTTATGCTATCAGAAAACATCGGCTCAATTTTTTTTCTTGTAATTAATACCAGAGAAACTTAGTGTGCTGACTAGGGCTCCTCTGGTGGTTGGGCTTTTCTTGTCAGCAACAAACTGGGCAGCACAGATTGTACTGTAGAAATTCTCCCTCTGTGCCCTTGAAAACTCTGGTTCTCTGTGCAGTCAGCTTAGCCCAGCCATAACCGAGTAAAAAAATCTTTGGGTGCTTGTCAGCTACTTAGGCAAATACTGATGAAGTCAGTCATATGACCAGTACCAAAAAAAATATCATGCAAAGAACAGCAATCATTTCAGGTTAAAGCTATACAGAATTGTACCTTTCAGTCAATACCTTTGAACCAATGATCTGTTTAAATTAGAATGGATATTCAAATTTACAGGATAAATTAGACTAGTCCCAAAATTTACATCAAATCATCCCAACACACAAAAGTTATACTTTTTGTTGTCTTACAGTGGGTGAACCCATAGAATAATACCCTGCCGGCAGGAAGAACATGTTGCTATTTAGCAAACCTGAGTAGTGAGGATCAATAAATACTAGGAGTTAAAATGCTAGTAGTCAGATACCTTGAGTCTCAGGAGCCAGGGGCTTCATTGAGCCTTAATCCTTTCCTTTCAAAGGTTTCTTTTTTTTTAAGCAAGCATTTAACATCTATGCTGAAGCTTAAAGGAAAAAAAAAAGTCTCCTGGCTAGAGAGAGTCAATATAACTCAGACAACTGGATATTAGAAATCCAGTCATTACTGAACAGATCATTGTAAACAACCAAAAAATCTCTCTCTTCTTCCCTTTTCAATGGTTTCTTGTTAAAGGCAAAATTCAGAAAAATCTTTCAGGCTGAAGTCCTTGTATTTGGTTGGAAATGTTGTCCCGTTATACATAATCTCTCTCTATATATTTGATTAGGCACAAGAGGGGTTATTAAACATTCAACAAGTCCTCATCACTATCATCATGAAACGATACTGTATTTGTAGAGTTCTGTGCCTGCTGCTGGCCTGTCTTGGCTTTAGCCTTCCTTTCCTTTCCACCATTCAGCAAATAAGCTTTGTCATCATATCCATGACTGGGTGGCTGCTTCTGTGGGTGCCTGCTCTTGTCTAGTCCTCTTCCTGTCTGGATCTTTACATCTGGAATAGTTAACACTTCATCCTCACTGTCCAGGTCATCCACACGGAGAGAGGTAAAGGCTTCAGACGTAACAGGCTTGGTAGTAATGTGACCATTCTCTTGCCCTCCTTTTGCTGTTCTTTGATTTGGTGTTGCAATTTCCTCCATAAGCCACTCTGTTTCATTCTCATTGGCTTCTTCTTCACTGTTTATCTGCAAGAAAAAGGAAAATTATGCAAGAGGAGACTGCATATACAGCTCTAGACTCTGCCATATGCTGATTTCCCCAATTGTCAGACCCTGCACCATACATGGACTTGAGTTTAAATTAGTCGTAAGTAATACTGCAATAACCTACTGCTACTATTGCTTTTCACTACGTCTGAAACAGACTACTTTCTCTTCCTATACATTTATGTGTTATTTGGCTATTTATGGACTGTTCTTCATTTCCTCAATTCTATTCTCCTTTCACATTTCACAATACAAATCTAGGCATCTCAGCCACATGGCCGTCCTGAAGCCACATGGGATGGCTTCCACACGCTGAAGAAACTAGGAATTAAGTGGGGCTATTTATTAATAAAAGCTTCATATTAAGAAAACTTGACAAGAAACAAGACTTGGCCACTGTATTACCTTTGTGTATTTGTAGGAAACACCAGACGTTCTTCTGCAGCAGTTCGTTATCTTGTTTATTACAATTTCCCTGAAGAAGGGGAAAAATGCATTAGAGAGACTGTACCCTCCTTATTAGC